ACTATAACTGTGTACCAGTTACATACATAAGCAATATGATGTAAGAGGAAATTTAAGACGACACTGGGCAACACTAGACATAAACAAAGACATGCAGAATGTTAAAGACCGTTGTTAACAGGGTGATCAGACATCCTGACTTGCCCAGGACAGCCCTGTTCTATGTTTGTTGCCCCAGGATAATTACTAATAGCTTTTTCTTTTATTCTCAGAAGTGTCTCCATTTGGATTTTAAATTATTTGATCATCTTAATTATTAACTGTCATAAAAGACAATCAAAAGGACAAAAGGGGAGAGGACTGAAGACAAACAGGTGAAGTCCCTTGTACAGTTTGTTCCATTGAAGTGGGCAACCAGTTTAGCACTCTTGATTCCATCTAAGTGCCCCAGTTTTAAGCCTTTCCTGGCAGCCCCACTCCCAAATTCCCATAACAAGAGGAAATTCTTAGCACCTCACTTTGAACTGTTACTGTACATTTCCTGACCCCTCCATGGGGAGGCAGTGTTGCATAGTGGTTAAGAGCACAGGGATCAATGCCAGAAAGATTTTTATGAGCATAGTGTCTGGTCTCCTAGGCTCTAAGTCTAGACCACCCGGCATCAAATCCCAGCCCTACCACATACTAGCTGTGTGTCCTTGAGCGAGTTACTCAACCTCTCTGTGAACTTAGTTTTCTCCTATTGTGTACCACATAGAATTGTTGTGCTCAGAACAGAATTGGCCACATTGGAACGGCTAGCTAATATTATTATTAAATGGCAATGAATATAAAGTACCCTGCACACTGTCTGCAGCTAAGTACTCAATAACTGTCAAATGTTATAATTATTAATCTTTATAGATTCCAAAGGACCCACCATGCATTAAAAAATCAGTTTACTGAATTGATTAATGGATACCGTAAATAGGTCCAGCAAGACGAGAATTGAGAAAAAGCCACTTACTTTAGCAGAAATAAAAGCATTTGTGACTTTTGGTAGTGCTGTTGCATCATAAGAGCAGAAACTAAAATTTAATGAGCTGAGGAACTTAATGGGAGATGAGAAAGAAAAGAACGTTTATGACTTCAAAAAAAGAAGCTAAAGTGTAAACAATTATCTTCTCCCTCAACCCTTTCCCCACTTCATCTAAAGCTGTCCCATCCCCCAAAGAAAGAAGGTCCTAAGAAAGTGTTTAGGAGCAGCCTGTATTAGGTCCACAGACAAAGAGCGGTGACACTGGCATGCAACACACTTGTAAGAAATTACAATAGAAACAAAGCAGATGGACTGAGTTTGAAAGAGATCAGCCGGGATCTACTTTCAACTCTGTTGCCAACTTATAAAAAACATGCAGAGAAGATTTTCAAGGAGCCCCTAGAATAACCCCAAATCTGAAAGCGAGTTTGAAGAATGGGACCAAGAGGGAGGAGAACCTGTTGCTGTTTTGCATCATCATACAAAGGCAGCTGCACTAGGGAGACAAAGGGCAAATTAAGCCACGAAAGAATTGCCTGTGATAACCAGGAATCTTCCTGACAGCAATCAGGTCCAGCACTGCTGAGTCCTTCCCATAGATCTTGGACCTCCAGGGAAATGGCAGAGTCCTGTTTTATGTGGATATAATAGGAATGAGGCCAGGTATGGCACAATGCAAACCAGAGGTAGAGACTAGTTCAAACAAACAAACAAACAAACAAAACTGGAATGGTATAAACGTGGCCCAAAAAACCTTGCAAGAGTTTCTTTGTGGAAATGACCAGGGTTAATTTCATTCCCCACTCTTCCCTAACTAGTGGAAGAACAACATAAGCTGTAGCCATCAAGACCAATTCCCTTCCCCCAGATTAAATTCTCAGAGAAGTTTTTTGTTTTTGTTTTTTTTTGAGTTGGGAGTCTCACTGTCGCCCAGACTGGAGTGCAGTGGCCGCTCCTGGCCACCACAGCCTCGACCTACTGGGCTCCGGCAATCCTTCCGCCTCAGCCTTCCAAGTAGCTGGAACTACAGGCGCAAGCTACCACGCCCGGCTGATTTTTTGATTTATTGTAGAGAGGAGGTCTGGCTGCCCAGGCGGGTCTCGAACCCGCGGGCTCAGGCAATCCACTCACCTCAGCCTCCCAAAGGCGCGGGATCACAGGCTGAGCCACCGAGCCCGACTCTCAGAGAAGTTTTTAAGTGTGAAAATGTTTTGGGGTGCAAAATACACCCATGATGCAAAATGAGCTGAGGAACTTAATGGGAGATGAGAAAGAAAAGGAAGTTGATGACTTCAAAAACCAAAGCTAAAGTGTAAACAATTATCTTCCCCCTCAACCCTTCCCCCACTTTGTCTAAAGCTGTCCAATCCCCCAACACACACCCCTACACACAATTTTGGAAGCAAGTGCCAGGCCATGTACTTTTTCACATTCAAAGATGAAAATAAGACCTCCAACATTTTATCACCTTAAAATAAGTGATTAAACAAAAGTGCTGTGATGGAAGAAAAAGGTATCTATGGAAGGCATTTTCAATGCCAAAAAAGATTGATTGCAGTACTGTGTGACTTCAACAAAGCTAAATAAAACAGGAAATTCATGACAGAAGATAAAATACCAAATGAGAGGGAAAAAAGACCTAGGACAGTTAAAGAAATATAAAATAATATAGAAAAATTTAAAATCACCTGAGAAGCAGAAAAGAGCAGGACTGACAGTGAAGAAAATAAAATAAATGACAAAGGCAGCCGGCTCGGTGGCTCAGCGTGTAATCCCGCGCCTTTGGGAGGCTGAGGTGAGTGGATTGCCTGAGCCCGCAGGTTCGAGACCCGCCTGGGCAGGTTAGCGAGACCTCATCTCTACAATAAATCAAAAAATCAGCCGGGCGTGGTAGCCTGTAATTCCGGCTACTTGGAAGGCTGAGGCGGAAGGATCGCCGGAGCCCAGCAGGTCGAGGCTGCGGTGGCCGGGAGCAGCCACTGCACTGCACTCTAGCCTGGGCGACAGAGTGAGACTCCAACTCAGAAAAAAAAAAAGACAAAGGCATGTTTGATAAATTCACATAACTTGAACAGGAAAAAGCAATTAGGTGAAAGTGATGAGAGAGAAGATGATAAATAATGAATGGCAAAAATAGATATCCCAAATATCAGATAATTTTGCATTGCTATAGTATAGTCTAGGTGAAACATTCAAGTATTTAATAGAACTTTCATGACTTAAGAAAAATTTGAAAATGCAGATCAAGTAGGCTCATTAAGTAACAATCAATCAATTATTTATTAAAAGATAGTGGTACTTAGGCATTTCCTGGTGAAAATTTTTAGTTTGAAAGACAAAGAAGAATTTTATAAATGGGAAGAAAATACATGTTACCTACAAAGACTCTACAAAATTAAGTGGTGAATTTTGATTGATAAAGTTCATCTTTATGATGGATAAATGTTGATGGATTTATGACCTAAAATTTTTATGCCTAACTAAGATGTCACTTAAATGTGGGGGGAAAAAGACATTTTCAGATAGGTATGTATTCTTCTAGAAAGGGGAGTAGGAATAATTTTCCTCAGGAAATTATCTAAAAAGTTAGTCAAGGTTTTTAAAAACATTTAAAATATAATAATTATTGCGTTTTAAAAATGGCACTGATCATTGACTACATTTAAGCAAATATATGCCTGGTTAGTATTTTCAATAAATTTTGAAATGATATTGCATCAACAAATGAGAGCAGTTTGACATGTGAAAGTAACAAACTGAAAATAAGAGGCTTTTAGAGAAAAAAATTTTTATTTTTGAATAATCAAATCCATTGGAAGCAATGACCACCATATTGAATACTGCAAAAAAGCAGATTCAGTTCATCAGAGGAAAGTTTGAAAAATTTCCCTGAACTCAAGCTTAAAGAATACAGAGATTAACGTTATGAGAAAAGAGATAAGTAACACAAAAGTTAGCTACAGGACATCTAATATATATACAGTAAGAATCCTAGGGACAGAGAACATTTATAAGACATACAATAAAAAATGATAATAAGAGAAGATACTTTTCCTGAGCTGTTAAAAGACCGGGGTCTATAGATGTAGAGGATTTTTACCAAATACTCAGCTGAATTATTTTTTTGTAAGTAATCTACAACTTAGTCAATCTGAGAAACTTCTTAAAATATAAGAACAATAGAAAAGTCTGCATTTTTCCAAAAAGGGAAAAAAGTAGTCCCCCTCAGACAAAAAAGGAAGTGAAACACAGATTGGCATTAAATTTTTTAATCTCAGCCTGGGCTCAGTGGCTCTCGTCTGCGATCCCAGCACTTTGGGAGGCCAAGACTGGAGGATCACTTGAACCTAGGAGGTCAAGACTAGCCTGAGCAACATAGAGAAACCTATTCTCTACGAAAAACAAAACAAAAGAAAATAGTACTCTACAACATTGAATGCAAAACAAACAAACAAAAAAAACCCTCAATAAAGTCTTGAGTGAAATGTGGTTTTTAAATTCCCTAGCCAAGCTTTCTCAAACATAAGAAAATGTAAAATGTGTACATTCACTTACCCTTTCTGAAAAATTTATTTTAAAATATTGACATAAAAATGGAAAATATATTTGAAAAAAAAGTAAAAGAAAAAGACATGATATGAAAGAAACAGAAGTAATGGCCTTAGAAAAATTAGGAAGTCATCAGGTTAGCAATGAGATTACATAGCAAACTATAAAACTGCAAGAGCAGATTCTCATAAGAAAAAATGAAAATGTAAAATTTTAATGCAAGATAGCAAAAATTACTTATGCTACATTTATATATACAGAAAATGTTGTTTATTTTTAGCTCCCAAATACCTCTTTGCTTCTTTCCTAGTCCACCTACTGAATAGCAGGAGGGAGGGAAATTTCCAAATTTTGAATTAAAGTAGTAATAATAGTCCAGTATGGTGAGTTTTAAAAATCCCTTTAGGTATAATGCTCAGTCTATCAGATGTTGCCTTTCCCCTACCAATAGAATCTGGATATTTGAGGAAGACTGATTTGTTTTTGTGAGGAGGTCCTTTGATTTTGGACCAGTTAATTTCATTGAAAGTTCTGTCACATCTTTAAGGAACTGAAAATTTCAATACTAGTTAAATGTATACTGAAAACAGGAACAGATAGAGAGTTTCTCAATTCATTTTAGGAAGCTAGCATGTATCTAGTATCCTTATCTACCAAGGATAAAACCTTTATACACAAAACTTACCACCAACTTTTTAATAAAACTTAAAAAATTTATCCTAGGAATGCAAGGGGGCTTCAATATTTAGGAAATGCATTAAGATAATGCACATTTATTTTGACTACTGGAGATGAAAACCATATTATCTCAGCAGAATCTGAAAGAAATCTCTCTGAATTCTTAAGCATTCAAAGGATGTCAGGGATATGAATAATAATTAATGAGGTTGATTTGATAAATATGTTTTGAGCCCTATACCCCATAGAGAATAAATTTTCCTTTCAAATGCCCATGAAATATTTATTAGGTCACAAAGAATGCCTCCATATATCCCAAGGCACAATTTTTCCAGTCCACATTCTCAGCAATAATAACAGGAAATGAATAGTGAAGGACACCAAAATTTCAGCTATTAGGAAAAAAAATACAGATTTTCATATTATCCTATCACAAGAAAGACATGACAATGAATATAGAAATTAGAAAAAACAAGGCTGAAAGAAAATCACTGTCTGGGACAGAGATTGGCAAATTATGGCCTGCAGCCTGTTTTTGTAAATAAAATTTTATTGTAGCACAAGCACACTCATTTTTTTCATGTATTGTCAATGGCTGCTTTTGTGCTATAAAAAGAGTTGAACAGTTGCCATGGAGACCATATGGCCCCCAGACCCTAAAATATTTGCTGTCTGGACCTTTGCAGAAAAGGTTTGCCCACCCTTGGACTAAAAAAACATATGCAACCCAATAGAAACTGGGCAAAGAATATTGTAGAGGCAGGGTCTGACTATGTTACCTAGTCTGGCATTGAACTCCTTGCCTCAAGCAATCCTCCCAAAGTGCAGGGATTATAGGCATGAGCAACTGCACCCAGCCAGCTTTTCTTGACAAAGTCTTGTTTCCAAACCAATTGTGTTGCTGCAAAAATCATGTTTTGAATCTCAAATATTAACTTTTTTCCCCGTCTTTTTTATATCACTGTTGGGAAAAGCGTATCCCCTACCTCTCTACTGTAGACCCTGGCAGATAGTTGGCTTGGACTGTCCAGGGTATGGTAGGTCACTTTCTGTGCAAATGCCAAAGAGAAAAGCACAGTAAAAGTTTTAACATATTACCTCCATTATGTATGAAATGGTCTGTATGTAAAGAATGTTCATCATAATGCTATTATAAGTGAAAAAGTAAAACTTACTAAATGTACAACAAGGAATTATTCCAGTAATAGTGTATCTATAAATAGTGTATCTATAAAATGGCATGGTAGCTTACGCCTATAATCCCAACACCTTGGGAGGCTGAAGTGAGAGGATTGCCTGAGTCCACTGGTTCAAGACCAGCCTGGGAAATTTGGTGAGACCTCATCTCTACAATAAATCAAGAAAAATTAGCCAGGCATGGTGGCACGTGCCTGTAGTTCCAGCTACTTGGAAGGCTGAGGCAGAAGGATGGCCTGAGCCCAACAGGACGAGGCTGCGGTGGCCGTGAACATGCCACTGCCCTCCAGCCTGGGTGACAGAGTGAGACTCCTACTCAATAAGTAAATAATAAATAAATAAATAAATAAATAAATACACAAAGTGTATATGCTTGGGAAAAGCCTGAATGCAGAGTCACAATAGTGTGGGCAATGAAGTCATCTGAGATGTGAGATGATGGGATTATTTTCTTTCTTTTGCTTGTCTTTCCATCCCCTCCACCCCTCAATATTTCCAACAATGAGCATGTTGCTTTCATAATACAGTATTTTCAAATCCTCTCCTTTGGTGCCCTCATTCTGAGTCACTTCCTCCCAAGTGACATCTCAGGGACACTGGCAAGTGTGAGAAATGGAGCCACAGCTGTACATTTCAATTATGGGAAATGTCTCGTGGGCAACTAACCGATAGTCTGTGTTCTTAACAACACTTTTGTGTTGAATTTGCACCAAAAGTACCAATAGTTGATGTGAGAAAATGTTTTTAGGCTTTTCCTTGGCATGTAAGCACACACTCGCGTGTGTTGGGAAAGACAGAGTGTAGATGAAAGTAGATATTTTGTTACGAGACCTTTTTTATCACGATCCACAAGAGAAAATACATTTTATATCTTGACACAAAGCACACACGATACTTAGACATAATTGACCAAAAGTTTTGTGTAACATTCTTTCTGTCACAGTATGCAGTATATTCTGATATTTCTATCCTATTCTTTAAAAAAAAAATCAGCCACATCTCACCAAACTGATTTCCCAAATCTCTAACAAAAGTTACATTCTGCAGCTTATGAGTAATTGTTTTCATAGGCATCAGTTAGATTGATTAACAGAAAGTTCATCACAAGTCAGTCAGGTGGGGCTGACCGGAGCAGAGTAGGTGGCCCCATCTCAAAGTATAGTACTCAGTGACTTGTTTGGGGTCTCTGTTGGTATCTAAAGAAGCTGGAGTGGAGACAAGAGTCAAAGACAAGCTTTATAAGCAGGAGGGAGGCTTGACTGTGACCCTCAACCGTAATAAGAGGGCAAGGCCTGAGGGCCTGGGTCAGGTTTAGAACTCCAGCCAGTCAGGGTGTGGTGCAAGACTAGGAAGAAGGAGAGGAAGCTCACGGAAGAAACTGGGGAGAGGAAAGAGAGGGCACAATAGCAGATGAACACAGGGTCTTTGACAGCAGAACTAATTGTGGGTCCCACTTATATGCACCCCAGGCTGCTAAACATATCCGTACCCTTCTAGGATTGGCTGGGGACCCAAGTGGGTCGCTGAGGACATCAATGACTTCAGCTGGGTGGGGCTAAGGAAAAGTAGGGACTGAAAGTTTTGTAATTTCCATCCTCAGAGCTGCTCTGCTCTTCCAGGATTAAAAAATTCCTGAGTGATGGTTCTAACTGCAAGCTTTCTTTTTCTCTTTTATTATGTTCTAATTTTTTGTGCAAAAGGAGGGACAGCGTAAATTTAATGTGGCCAACTTGATTCTTTCTGACTCTTGTTGTGCATGTGGCTAATGGAAAGAGCCTGTGTTTTCTAAGGAACTTAACCACAAGGAGGTTTGGAAACTCACATAAACAGAAAATAATGCATTGCAGAAAACAAGTCAGAATGAGATTTGGAGTCTTATTTTAATCCTATTTGCATATTAGACCCTTGGAAGTAATTGAACAGTAACCTGAGCGCAATGCCAGGTTCCATGCAGAATCCTACACTGGGAAGACCCAGTGAGTACAATGTCACAAAAATTTCTTAACTTCTTATCATGTTCCAAACACTGGAGAGAGCCTAGAAAAACAAAAATAAGTAAAAAAAAAAAAAACTCTGGATCTGCCTTCAGTAGTGACCTTATGGGACTAGTAGTGAGGAATGGTGGCTTTCCTTTCCCATGGTCTAGTGAACCCTTCTGTAAGACCAAGTCAGATGACAGTGTGGGAGGGCACTGACTCTTGGTTTCAAGTGGACTCCAGTGTGTTGAAAGAATCTTCAGGCAGAGAACTCTATAAGACTGTCTTCAAGCGAAATTCTTGGGAGGCTACTTGAATTCCAAATTTTGCTGAGATTTATACAGTGAAACAGAGGTACAAAATTCCAAGGAGGGCCCTGAACCCTTTGCACCATCCTGATACCAAGCTAGACTGTGGAATTCTTCAGGGCCTGGAGCTGCATTTGAGTTAAGACTTAACTAAGTAAAAATCAAAGACCTTTCACATCCACTTATTTCTAACACATGGCACTGTAACTGTCTGTGACTAAGGTTTGCCCAGCAATTACATGTTAAAAGCAATTCTGAAAAAGAAAATGAACAACAGTGTACAATATATTTGGGCTTGGAAGGAATTCTTTATTTCCACCTTGCAGCTTTGGTAATAGTGGCTGGGTGAGCCATACTACATGAAGATGCTATCAGGACTCTATAGCAAGGATTTAGGGTCATTAACTCTTAAACATACCGGCATGAGGAATTAGGTTTCTCTACACTTTGTAGGGTAGAGAGAACCGGGAATTGGATCCAGTCTGTGCCATTTCCCCACCCAACACCTGGTTTCTTCTGGCATTGATTTGATGTTCACGTCAGTCTTCAGGGTTGAGAAAAAACCAGGAGTCTAAACTACATTGTGTTGATTATTGTAGGAGTAACTACTCAAGCAATTTCCAAACTAGAAAATCAGTCACAAGGCCAAGTGCAGGTGAGACACGCATACTTCAACAGAAAGTTCAAACTAAGTCATAGACCCAACATATCTATTCTTATGGGAGAGGAACAGGAATCTGGTTGAGGTCCCAGAGGTCAGGGATAGGAAATCCAGCTGTGGTCAGCGAGTAGTGATGAGGCAAGAGGGTAGACTGTGGTACCAGGCAGGCGAGCCTCCTGCCACTGGAGATTTGGATTAAAGAAATATGAGCAGTACCCCTACCAAGCTTGCTGCTGTGCTAAAACCATAAGTAGCAGACACTGGGCCCTTTCCTCTTCCAAGGAGTAGTCTGATCTTGGGAAGGACAAAGCCTGCATATGTGGGTAAGGAAGGCTCAGTAATAAAGAGTAGAAGGAGTCCAAGGTGCAGTTCCAGATAGCCTTATACTTATTTGCTCCTTTAGTAGTAGAGACCCTTGGAATCCCAGAATAACCCAGAGAAGACAAAACCAGTTTGGCTCACAGAATCTAAGGTTATATTTTTACTGTTAATACTTGAGGAAGCAGGCAATGTACATCTCAAGTATGGCATGGCTCAAAGGCAGTATAATTTAGTCAAGGCTTAAATAGTTGCTTAAAGAATGATCACTTACATATTATGAAACAGCAAACCCCAACAGTGACAGGGAAGCTATTAGCAGAGATAGCATGGGAAGCCTGTTTATACCTCCTTGCCTTCATTTTTGTCTTAGG